AATTAGCAGCAAGCCTAGTTTCTCCAGGTTCTACCAAGAGTACGTTCTGGGGTTAATAATAACAGATTTTACTAAGCTTCAGCTAACAAGTAAGCTCACATCCATCGATGTGTAAACGTATACATTCATAAACAGTTCCTAATCCTTCTTTCATGGACTTCATGAAATGCTATCACGATTCCCCCTAAAATATCCGTCATATTTAATGACAAAATTACATATCTAATTCCGATTGGTCTGAAAAAAGAGAGAAAAGAGAGGATGAAATGTGTTGGAAGAAGCCTACAAACAACATACTTACCTCAAGCTAGCCTTCGTCAACCATGTTTGGTAACATGCAAGATGAATTGAGCTTGCAGGACAAATTTCAGCGTTCTATTATCGTGACACATCTCGGGACATCTTGACATCTCGACATCCCAACATCTCGACATCCTGACAACTCCACATCTCGATATCTCGAAATTTCAATAGCTCAACATTTGGACATTTCGACATCTTGACAAGTCGATAAGTTGCATGTCCCTTATGGGGCTCCGTAGATTGTTATTATTATTACACGCTTCTCGTCCATCGACACATGAAACGGCATCTCAGAGGACGGACCTAGCAAGTGCGCATACAACTGAGGCATCGATGTAGCGGGTACACCATTGGACTTGGAACTGCTTGGACTTTCCACTGGAACGGGATTAGGGTTTGCAGACATGCCACTGACTGGAGTTGAACTTGTCTTGAGGTGAAGACTGTCTGGACTTTCCATCGGCAGGGGAAGATGAGTAGAAGGCATGCCATCTGGAGTCAAATTTGAATTAAACTTTAAACAGTTTGGATATTCTGCTGGCAGAGTGTTAGAAGAGGAAATAGGGATAACAGGCACTCCATTAACTGGAGTCATCCTTGTCTTGGTAGCAACACCATCAACTGGGGTTGACTTTGTCTTAGTACTTGAACTGTTGAAACTTTCCACTCAAGGAACAGGGTCATTGACTGGAGTTGACTTTTTCTTGGCCATTAAACTATTTAAAGTTTCCACTGGTAGGGGATTCAAAGCAAAAACAGGATCCTTTAGTGGAGTTGAACCAGTCTTGACCTCATAGTTGGATTGTAAAGTCTCTTCAGTGACAACACCATCAGTAACGTGCAAAAGAATTCTAGCAGACAGCTTTCCGCTCTCATCTTCTTTGTCTTCATCTTCACTGTCACTATCACTGTCACTGTCACTATTGCTCTCTTTTCCCTCTTCGCTTTCTTCCCCCTGTTTAATTTCCAATGGGGCAGAAATTGCAACAGGCAAGGGAGCTGAGATTTAGTCTTGTTGTGAGCCATCCAAAGGAATACATCTAGATTCTGGTATGTTTTGGTCTTCAGGATCTTGAAGAACCACTTTCTTGACACGGGTGGAAACTGCGGCAGAAAAAGGGACACATGCTGATTTAGTCATGGTCTCTTGGTGTTGCAATCATCGGTTTGGGAAGGTGAGCTCAGCAATTGTTCCAAATCTACTTGTGGTTGTGCTCGACATACCGTTTCAGTTGCGATGATCTCATCCTTTGCTTCAGAGTTGTTCAGTAATGCTTGTAAAATTAATTGCACTGTTTCTTCTTCATTCTTATCATTGCTATCCAAATCGCCTCTTTTCCTTTTACCAACAGCCTCACTGCAGAACTCGCATCATCTGTGTATGCACTACTAGGACTCAAACTATCTGGTCTCATGGCAGTTGGAATTTTATTGAAGACAATATCAAAGGATTTTGCTTTCTCTTGCATCAGCATTTCCACCACCGCATCACATTCCATTTGAAACATAGATGATATATTATCCTTGCTGTGTTGAGCCTCACAGATCTTCAAATTTTCCACATGTCTTCATCGTTTGGATCTCATTTGGTATTTCCATGGTCAAAATTTCTGTTTATGTTTTTTCTCACCACAGCTTCCCTCTAGGGTGCGATAGTCCAATGCAGCCAAAGGCGGCTTTTTCTCCCCTAGCTTTTTCTGACTAATCTCTGCCAGTCCTTGTTTGTACAGTTCATTTAGTGAATTGTCAGGCCGGCATTTCATCGCCAATGGGACTGCTGCTTTTAGTAGATACAACACAGTTGCAGCCATCATCTCCCTTGGTGCCTCTGTGTGACTGCTAAACTTCACTTATGCTTCAAAAATTCTGCAAATCATCATAATGCGGTGCAATTCAACTCCCCCTTGAAGGAAAATCTGCAAGTTGGCGTTGTAGAAGTGGTGCATGCCTGACACTTAGGCACAATGATGGGAAATGTTCCAGACAATTGGTAAAGGTGGCCTTTGTTTTCATCTTGTGCTTGCGAGTCAACTGCAGCTGGCTCACATCTACTTCGATTGTATCAGGCTTGTCCAATCGTGCGTTCCCTACTTGATACCCGCACTTGCTCACCTTTGCCTTGTTCACTTGTATTGTCTTCAAGGCACGTTCAACCAGCCCGGTGCGTTTGATCCCATGAAAGATGACAAAAAACAGT